AACTTAGCATGAGTCGCTCTGCGCGTTCGACTTAGTCGAAACAATCGGAAAACTCCTCGGATAAAAAAGTATCAAATATTTGCTCCTAATCCGCCATAAGATGTAATTCGATTATTCGAATATTGGAGATTCTGTATATCGACTACCCGAATCATCGAATAATTGGGCGTGACCGAATACGAATGTCGAATAATGAAATGAAAGCAATTTCGAATACTTGACTAATCGAGTGCGCAAATGATCAAATTATTCGAATACTTCAAAAATAAATACTTAGAATCATATTCGGTGATTTCGCAAACTCGAACGGTCGAATATTAATCGAATTTTCAGTTCCAGAACTTCCAAATGTCGTACGAAATATCGACTCCGCATTTTCGATAGTCTGATATCCAATATTTGAACTATTCAAAAAGTTCGGTTTTTCTATTCGTACACGAATATTCGACTTAATTATACTACGGACAATACAGTGATCGGAGTCAAACACAGAGGAACAAACAATACTTGGAATTAGCTACCTGAGATTTTCGTAATCGAGAACTTTTCCTCACAAAATATACTTTGGCAAGTTATACGGGACGAGTTATCGCATTAATTCGCGTACTTAAGCTACGTACAGCACATGAAAAAAAATGGATACTGCGAACTTCGCGCATTATATGCTTCTGTCATTCTGTTAAATTACGGGAATGAAAATAAACACCTGAAAAGTTACATTTAATGTCGATCGAGTAGGTGTATAATCTGTCCAACCAAGTCAACCCATATGCTGCCAACTGCGGACTTATGACCCTAACCCTTTGTGAACGTAGATTCCATTGTTGTTCCTCAGCTGAAACAAACTGACTAGCGGACAAATCGGTTGTTAAGCAGTCCGCAAGGCGGTTGCGCACGTTACGAGAAGTACGCAGACACCAAAATATAGCTCAACTTTGGTTAGACAGACCATATGCAAACCCAGAGATACTGCAGAAAAGCAGAGATCCGATTGATTAGTAGAAGTGAAGTGAACATAACAACAATCCACTTCTTGAGCAATCACAAGTCTGCTTATTTAGTGCTGGCGTGAGTAGAGGACCATTTACCGCCGACTGGCCTCGCAAACTGTCTCCTTCCAGGCGGTAATCTTGACTATTAGAGGTAATGGAGCACCACGATTAGAATGAAAAAGGATTAAGAAACGCATTTGGCAGCTTATTGGCGGGATAGTTGTCCACGGAGGTTGGCTCAATGGTGGTGTATAGTCCTCTATCTGTGTTAACATGCATCACTCACGAACTCGATAAAATCTACTCACTATAAGGACAGGAGTATTAGCGAAGGTGCTAGTTTACCAATAAATATCAGGTAAATATGATGAATAAGTAATCTATTTGCTATGGAAATACCTAACTCCACTCTCAAATCAAACTACACACTATTTCGAGGAGGCTAGAAACACGATATGAAGACGTCACCGACAAAGCCCTAGTTAGGCTGTTCGATAACTCGAAATGATTTCGACAACCCAATTAGGCAATTACTATTGTGACTGAAGTAACCAAGGCGGTAGGTGCCTTCTGGCAATGGGCCAAATTCGCAAACGAGATATTGTTGGCTTTGCACTGTTTGATCGTAGCATGTTGCAATCCAGACCCATCTTAGTGGTGTTGTGCAATCATCAATCGATGCCTGGTATCGATCAATAATCTATTAGTCTGTATTTGGATCTGATGGTATGCACGTACCGGGTAGACGCCAACCCAATCTAGGTAACTTCCTCGCCGTGACCAATAGCCGTTCATATGTTGGAATCGACCGATGAGGGGCACTGTAGTGTACCACGTTGGTAGCTGCTCAAACAGAACATCCCAACTTATTGTCTGCATGGGGCGCAACTGAAACAAAGTTCAATCTGATATGGATTCAGTAAATACGCAACCTCACGTACCCTCATAGTGAAAATTGCTTGAACAGGCAGGTGATCGCTGACTAGCACTTGGTTGTTAG